TCGAAGAAGGGTCCAGACCCGAAACGTCAGCTTTCCTGCTCCTCTGATGCTGCTTGGCCTGCTGTGTTCATCCAGCCCTATACTTTGTTATCTCAGATTCTCCAGCATCAGCAGTTCCCACTATCTCTGAATCACTTTTAAGCTTAGAACTGTCTTTTGGTAAATTTTCCCTCTCGAGATTTTTCCTCTCGCCTTGCTGCCTAAAGCTGCTTTCATTGTCCCCGATTTAAATTGCTTTAATCAAAGGTAACATGAAGGGTATTCATGTGACCGGTTCTGAAGTTTCTCTGACAGCAAGATTGGTTAGTTGGATTACTGGTCTTTAAAGGGGACCCTGATTGTTATTAGGAAGGAGGTAAAGGGTGTTGATGCTTAAAAGCAATGGCAGCAACCTGTATGCTAACAATGGATAGACAGAGTGTCTCCAAATTCCAAAAAAGTGCTCAGGATGTTATCTTGTAAACAATTAGGCTTTAATCAGTCAACTTACTTCAAATAAAAGACAGTTGCTCTCTCGAAGATAGTTAATCAGTATTTCTAACTCGATACAAAGTCTATGTGACTCACATTGTCGTGGAGATAAAAAAAAAAGTTTCTTCTCAAAGCCCAAGATATCCCTGAAACATTCAAAATTTAGCTCAGGATATGGGAGAATGAAAGCAGATACAGGCAGCAAGACACTATGATTCACTGCACAAAAATGTAGGTGGGAAGCTCGTGTTTAATTGAGAAGACCAAATTCATGCGGAATTAATATGAGGCTGGAGGATTCACCTAGCTTGTGAGAGAAGAATCACGGGGGAAAATATTCACAAAGTCATTTGAGATTAAAAGTTTCCAGGCTCAGAGGGGAAAAAAACAAAACCAAGCACACTAAGAGCTAAGAATCATTTTGGACAGATTCCAGAGAATCAAACACCTACTTAAATGAATGGGCAAAAACTTAGCAGATAGGGTATAATGTGGGAAAATGTGGGGTTGTCAAGCAAGTACCTCAAGTAATCAGGAATGTTGACCTTCATAGCACTGGTTGGGAAAATCTTCCTACAACATTTTTGAGATCACACAAGACTGTTAGGTACAACAGTGGTCTGCTTATTTAAGGAGACACGTACAAGCATTCAAAGCAGTTCAGAAGTGTTTTTTATTCATTCACACGATGTGGGCCTTGCTGGCTAGACCAGCATTTATTGTCCATCCCTAACTGCCCAGAGGGCAGTTATGAGTCAACTACATTGATGTGGGTCTGGAGTCATATGTAGGTCAGACGAAGTAAGGTTAACAGATTTCCTAAAGGACATTAGTGAACCAACTGGGTTTTTCCTCACAATCAGTTATTGTTTCATGGTCAACATTAAACTCTTAATTCCAGATTCTTTATTGAATTCAAGTTCCACCATCTGCCACGGCAGGATCTGAACTAGGGTCCCCAAAACATGAGCCACGTTCCGAGATTAATAGCAATAATACCACTCGGCCACTGTCTCTGCAATAAGATTTAGCAGTTTTGGCCTATATACATTGGAGTGCAGAAGAATTAGAAGCCATCTAATTGAAATATTTAAGGTTCTGAAATTGCTTGGAAAGGCAGGATGTTTCCCATGATGGGACACAGAGAAAAATAACAGTTCATCCATTTATGATGAGGATGAGAAGTAATTTCTAAGTTCTCCTCTCATAAGGTCATTAGACTTTGCAATTTTCTTCCAGAAGGAGCAGAAAAGGCTAGATCATACAGTCTATTTAAGGCAGATTTTTGGTCAACAAGGGAGGAAAATGGAGTTCCGGCCCCAATCATAAACTTATCAAATGACGAAGCAGGCTTGATTTGTGGATAGTTGAAATTAAATGATCAGAATGAGAGAATGGCAGAACAATGATGCATCTAACTGCCAGACTGAAAAGAACATACAGTCTCACTGGAGTGCAGGGGAGGGACATGGTGGCAGAAAAAGTAACAAGCAAAGCTAAAAGAAAGGGAAGGGATAGGTTCGCAATTTGAAGGTGTTCAACTCAATATTGAGCCCAAAAAGGTTGTAAAGTGTCTAGTTTAAAGATGAGATATTTCTCCTCCAGTTTTCACTGAGATTCACATGAGCACTGCAGCATGCCAAGGACAGACAAGTGGGCATGTGAGCAGGATACTGTGTTAAAATGACTAGTTATAGGAAGGTCAGGGTCATGTTTGTGCACAGACCAGAGGTGTTCTGCAAAGCAGTTACCTAGTCTGCATTTGGTTTCTCCAATGTAGAGTAGGCCACACTGGGTGCAGCAAATACAATACAAAAGATTGGAGGTGGTACGGGTGAAATGCTCCTTCATTTCACCTGAAAATCCTACATTCCAATTCTTAGTCTGTAGTCCAAACAGATATGAAAAAATCTAGTTTAAATGCAATGAGTTTTCCATCTCTATCATCCTTTCAGACGTTTCTCACAGACACCATTACATTTATAAGTGGTTTTATTAAAAGTAAATATCATTTGAAACATTCAGCCAGACAATAAATCAATTTCCTTGCAGGAAACACAGATGAACAACAGGTTTGTGAAACATATTTGACAAGTAAATAGTTTTGGGAACAGGTGGAAAGGATAACGTTATGCAGCTGCAGTGCCAGACGAACGGTGATGATCTAATATCTTGCACCTTCCGTCCAGCATGCCCATAATGCAAACTGCAAAGAATAGCTTAGAGGAAAAGTCCTGCAGTTCATTTATAAATCTCAACAGAGAATACAGTCACGGAGCTGAGTGGTTGACCAGATGGGATAGGGACAAAAGCAAAGTGAGAATCATGGAGAAAAAAGTCTTAGGAGGAAGTCAACTTGAGCTCAGAGGGGTCATTAGAAAGGCTAACAATTAGACCAATATCACCTTTCCCAGTGATGGCCCTCAAGGAACACTGGTTGAGGGATAAATCATTACAAGCTCTGGTCTAATCCTGACTGACCATCTGATCACATTTTAAATGCTTGCAATGTTTTCACTGACATTAATAATCTCCTAATAACACATTTACTCACCTGTTGCCTTCTTTCACCCAACAGCATTGTTGCACTCAGAATAAAATAGCTGATTATTTCAGCATTTTAGCCACTTCTAAAATAACAAAGTTGGACAGGAAGTGAATCCAAAGTATGTTTACAGGATCTTAGCTATCAGACTCTCAACTCTTGGATCTGAAGGATCCAGTTGAGCTCAGACAGATGGGACTGAAGTCTTCCTGTCTGAAAGTGTTTTGTGAAAGAAGAGCCAATCAAGTACAATAAATTACAGATCCAGATCAGAAAAGCTTTGTATTCAATATGAACAGGGTGAGTGGAGGGATTTAAGGTGGGTCACAATACAGTATCAACAGGCCTTTGAAATCTAGAATCAGGAACCCAATTCACTTCATGTTAAGCAACCCATTCCAGCTCTTCCCAGTTCCATGCACACGACTGCCTCAAGTGGATAACTTACACTGTAGATATAAAACATAATGAGGCAGCTCTGCAGCTTCACAGGGGCACTCACTTGAGGAATTCACTCACAGTGAATGGAGGTGATTCTGTAATAACACTCGAACTCTGAAACCAGAGAGGGCAAGACCAGCACAATTTCCAAGTGAGACATTTACTCTGCCACACCAAGTACTTGAAACGTTACCATTTCCCAGCATAGTCTTCAGCAAGAATTGCCACCATGCGTTCCAGCGATCCTAGCACAGCACGGTGAATGATAACTGGGTGGCTTCCACTTGTTCCATCTTTACTATAGAAAACAGGAAAACGAACTAGCAACAGCATGACAAAAATAATGACTTTTTCCACAAATTCCAGGCAACCCCCCGCTCAACTTGGTTATTGTCAAGCTTCCCTGAAGTCAGTGTCGTCATGGTCAATAGGAGCTGCTATTAACCAGAAGCTCAACCAAGTCGCCTTTATTCACATATGAACTCAAGCTACTTACTTATCATTTCAAGATGATGGCAGCGGAGTAGCAGCATTCAGGCCCAGGTCTTGAGCTCAAGAAGCATCCACTTCCATCTGCCTTTCTTTTTTCCCCTCTTTCTTCTACTTTTGCTCTTTCTTTTTCTCTTTTGTTTCTTTTCTGGCAGCAGTGGTCCCCCAAAGTGTTGGCAGCGGTCCCCTTCCTGGACCATCGGCAGCTGTGGGAGTGGTTCCTTCCCAGTGTGTTAGCAGTGGCTGGAGCCTAGTTCAGGACCAGACTGCTTCAGCGGCAGTTGTATTGCCAAGATTTGTCCAGTGCAGACTCATGACGACGGCATGGTGGAGGCAAGATGGTGCTGAAGAACAGCTACACAGTTCCAGCAGCAGTGGTTCAGATCCACACCATGGCTGGTCCCGGGTACCTGACAGCAGAAGTGTTCCGGCTGCGGCAGTGTGTGGGGTCTTATGGCACCCGAGTGTTCACAGACTGAAGAATGGACTTTGGGGCTTTGTTTTTTCTGGTGGCGAGGACTCGTGAGAGGCGGGGGAGTGATCTGGACGTTTCCTTTTCTTTTAGCTGTTTCTTTTATTTCTGATATTTTTAATCCTGTCTTCTATATACTAAGATGTTGCCACAGACTTTGTACACTTTTCACTGTTCCTCTGTACTGCTGTACTTGAGTACACGTGACAATAAAATCTAAACCCACATCCAACAAGCCTGACTGTTGTCCAAGTTACAATCAGCACACTCTGACACAGAGAATTTGAATAGTCCAGTTTGTAGAGCTGGATTCTATATTGTTATCTGATTACCATAGAGCAACTGTTGCACCCATTAACCCCAAAAAGAGTGCAGACATTACAAATGGAAAATCAAAAACATGATCATAATATCATCAAAGCTGTACTCACCTAACGTACACCAGATTAAACTGAATGGGCAGCTGAAAGTCCAGCTGGATGGTAGCACACTGATGGTATCGGCCTAGAGCATCCTTTATCTCAATGTCGATCTACAATGAATCAGAGAATTAGAAAGTGCATGGAAGATTTGAGGAGATAACTACACAATGCAGCAATATCCTACACTAACCTTTGGTCCATAAAATGCTCCATCTCCCGCACTCAGTCTCCACTGCTCATCAAATGCATTCAAACAGCACTCCAACTGCTAAACCACAAGAAATAAAAACATGAAACTCAGTATCACTCACAGCTTGTTTTACTGTTATATTTGTTTAAAACTGGTCTTTCACAGCATTTATCTCATTGGAGTTCAAAAGTTCACATTGGTCAATGTATATCGTCCCAATGTCTGCATCAATTTTGCTGAGAGCATGAGTTAAAAACAGAGCAAGTTGTCTCTGCAATGTCTGGTCTCACTCCAAGGGGTACACAGCAAGAATGGAGGCAGCAGAGGTCATATTTACTGTGCTGCAAACAGCTTCCTTTTCAATTGGGGACGTGATAACTTAGAAATACAGAATTGGTTTTATCAGATAATCAGTGTTGGTTTGAAAAGCTCTCCATACAGACTAAGTCCAGTTTCCTTTTTGCAACATGAAATGATGATTGCAGCCACACATTGTTGATGTCAAGCCAATTCACCATCAGCACCAATTACTCTTTCCACTATTAGCCAACAGTCCAGCAATCACTTGCCTTTTCCGCCTGATTCCACAAGTGCAGATCGCCCAGAAACTTTTCCGGCCGTGTGGAAAGGATGAGCTGGAAACTGAAGCCAAACACTCCATACACCGACCGGATAAAGTCCAGACATTCACTTATCTCCTCATCAACCTGTAAAAGGAGAACAAGTAAAATAAGAACAGTCACCAACTTCAAACCAATAAAGTCAAAAAGAAACAGGAGCATTGGATAAATTAGCCATCTTTAAGGGCCATGTTTTATTTTTCTGTATTTCTAATTATGGATTGAAATGGGAAAAGAACTGTTTGAAAAACTAAGCAAGCAGTCTGATACTCATTGTAAATACACAACTGCAGGCTCTAGCAATGAGAGATGGTTTGCAGATGAACTAGAGCCAAAGGCTGTGTACAAGTATAGATTCAGCCAGTAATAAGCAACTGATTAGTCTGCGGACCAGTGACCAGTTATCAATGAAAAAGGTCATCTTCCTACAATCATCTGTGTGATTGGCTCTCATGTACCTGAACTGCTTGGGGCTGTTAACAAGATAGTGAAAAGTCTTCCAATCTCCATCAACTCAGGAGTTCTCTCTATTCTCTGTAGTCAAAGCTACTTTAAGCTTGAAGAAAATCAACAAATGAAAAAGTACAGCACAGGAGCCGGCCCTTCGGCTCTCCAAGTCTGTGCCAACCATCATGCCCTAATTAATCTAAAAACAAACCTGCCATTCTTTGAACCATATCCATCTATTCCCTCCCTATTCATGTACCCATCTAGGTGCCTCTTAAATGTCTTCAATGTGCCCACTTCCACCACCTCTTCTGGTAGTGCATACCAGGCTGCTACCACTCTCTGCGTGAAAAACTTCCCTTGCACATCTCCCTTAAACCTTCCCCCTCTGACCTTGAATCTGTGCCCCCTTGTAATTGAAACTTCAACCCTGGAAAAAACCTTTGACTATCCACCCTATCTATGAATCTCATAATTTTGTAGATCTCTATCAGGTCTCCTCTCAGCCACTGTCTTTCCAGTGAAAACAATCCTAGACTTTTTAACCTTTCCTCATAGTCAATGCCCTGGAGACCAGACAACATCCTGGTTAATCTTCTCTGCACTCTCTCCAAAGCTTCCACATCCCTCTGGTAGCGTGATGACCAAAACTGCACACAATACTCCAAATTCGGCCTAACAAGGGTTTTATATAGCTGCAACATATTTTGCCAACTCTTGTACTCCACACCCCGGGCAATGAAGTCAAGCAGCCATATGCCTTCTTAATCACCTTGGCTACCTGTGTTGCTACTTTCAGCAAACTGTGAACCTGAACGCGCAGATCTGTCTGAATGTTATCTTCAGTTTCTGTATGCCTTGACTTTTGACTAATAAGCCAAAACCTCTATAAAATCAGCACCTTCAAGCAATGTCCCCCACAAAGACAGTCATCACCTTAAGGAGAATAACTTCAGAACAAAAAATGGGAATTATAAAAGCATATGATATAGTAGCAGAATTAGGCTGTTCGACCCACCAAGTCTGCTCTGCTGTTCGATCATGGTTGATATGTTTCTCAACTGCATTCTCCTGCCTCCTCTCCATAACCCTTGAACTCCTTACCAATCAAAAACCTACCTATCTCTATCTTAAATACACTCAACGATTTGGCCTACACAGCCCTCTGTGGAAATGAGTTAACAGATTAACTACCCTCTGGCTAACAAAATTCCTCATCTCAGTTAGAAAAGGTCATCTCATCACCCTGAGGCTGTACCTCAGGTCCTGGTCAACCCAACGAATGAAAACAACTTTTCTACATTGATTCTGTCCAGAGCTCTCAGTATTCTGTACATTTCAATCAGATCCCCCCCGCCAAATCCTTCTAAACTTGATCAAGCACAGACCCAGAGTCTTCAACTAATCTTCATATAACAAGCCCTTCATCCCCGGGATCATTCTTGGAAACCACCTCTGGATACCTTCCAATGCCAGGACATCCTTCCTTAGATAGGGGACCCAAAGCTGCTCTCAGTATTCCAAATACCACAGCCTTATATGCCTCAGCAGTGCACATTTGCTCTTGTATTCTAGTCCTCTTGAAATTAATGCTAAAGTTACATTTGCCTTCCTAACTACCAACTTAACCTGCATGTTAACCTTAATAGTATCCTGAACTAAGATTCCCGTCTCCCTTTGTGCTTCATTTTTCTGAAGCTTTTCCCCATTTAGAAATAGTTCATACCTCTATTCTTCCCCCCAGAGTGCATAACGTCATACTCTCCCAGACTGTATTGTATCTGCATATCTTTGCCAACTTGCCTAGCCTGTCCAAGTCCTTCTGCAACCTCCACGCTTCCTTAAAACTATATGCTCTTCCACATATCTGTGTCATCTGCAAATTCAGCAACTGCCTTCAGATCCTTCATCCAGATTGTCAATGTATAATGTGAATAGTTGTGGTACCAACACTAACTGCTGTAGGACCCATCTAGTTGCTGAAAAAGACCTCTTTATCCCTAATTAATGCCTCTGCCAGTCAGCCAATCCTCTAACCTTGCCTCTAACATTGTGGGCTCTTATTAATTTGTTCAGTAGCACCTTGTCAAAGACCTTCTGGAAATCCAAACAGATCAAATCCACTGGCTCTCCTTTGTCTAACTTGCTTGCAATCTCCTTGATGAATTCAGACAGATTTGTAAGGCATGACCATCCCTTGATAAAGTTGTGCTGACTCAGCCCTATTTTACCATGCACCTCCAAGTACTCAGCAATCTAATCCTTAATAATGGACTCTAAAATCTTACCAACAACCAAGGTCAGACTAACTGTCCTATAGCTTCCTGTCTTCTGCCTCCCTCCCTTCTTAAACCAAGAACGGTACATTAACCATTTTTCAGTCTTCGGGTGATCCTCCCTGACTCCAGTGATACCTGAATGATCACCAATGCCTCTACAATCTCGTCAGCTATCTCCTTCAGAACTCTGGGGTGTAGTCCATCCGGTCTGGGTGATTTATCCATCCTCAGACCTTTCAAGATCCCCAACACCTTCTCCTTAGTGATGGCCACTACACTCACCTCTACCCAGGCTCTCTTGAAGTACTAATATGCTACTGATATCTTCCACTACAAAAACTGATGCAAAGTACCTACTCAGTTTCTCTGCCATTTCTTTGTTCCCCATTACTATTTGTCCAGCTTCATGTTCCAGCGGTCCATCCAATGTCCACTCTTGCCTCTCACTTACCTTTCAGATATCAAAGAAACTATTACAATCTTCTTTTATATTACCAGCTATCTTACCCTGATATTTCATCTTCTCCCCCCACTTAATGCTCTCTTAGTTATCCTCTGTTGGTTTTTAAAAGCTCCCCAATCCTCTGGCTTCCCACTATTCTTCATCACATTGTATGCTTTTTGCTTTGCTTTCATGCAGTACCTGATTTCCCTTGTCAGTCATGGTTGCCTCATCCTCCCTTAATATGTTTCTTCTTCCTTGGGATGAATTCTGCTGTGCCTCCCAAATTACCCCCAGAAACTCCTACCATTACTACTTCACCATCTTCTCTAATGGGCTCCCCTTCCAAGCAACTCTGGCCAGGTCCTCCTTCATGTCTTTGTAGTTAGCTTTACTCACATGTAATACTATTACATCTAATGCAATCTTCTCCTTCTTAAGTAGCAGGATGAATTCTATCATATTATAGTCACTGCCCCTGGTTTGCTTCACCTTAAACTCCCTAATCAGGTCTGCCTCATTACACGTCACCAAATCCAGAATTACCGGCTCCCCAGTGGCCTCTACAACAAGCTGCTCCCAAAAACCATCTTGTAGACATTCCACAAATTCCTTTTCTGGAGATCTGCTACCAACCTGATTTTCCCAGTCCACCTCCATAATCGAAGTCCTTATGATGACTGCAATACTGCCTTTCTTACATGCCTTTTCTACTCCTGATTTATTTCATCTCCTGGGGAGGTGATGGCCCAGTAGTATTATCGCTAGACTGTTAATTCAGAGACCCAGAGCATGTTCTATGGACTCGGTTTTGAATTCCGTCATGGCAGATGGTAGAATTTAAATTCGATAAAAATCTGAAATTAAAGGTCAAATGATGGCCATGAAACGATTGTAGGTAAAACTGATATGGTTCACTAAAGTTCTTTCAGACGGAAACCGCTGTCCTTATCTGGTCAGGCCTACAAGTGACTCCAGACCTCTAGCAACATGGTTGAATCTTAACTGCCCTCTGTGTAACTAGGGATGGGAATAAATGCTAGCCACTAATGCCAACTTCCGCTTAATGAAAAAAGAAAATTCTTCCCCACATCCTGTCTATTTGGAGGAGGCCTGTACACAGTTCCCATCAGACGCATTTTCCCCTTTATGGCTCCTCAATTCTACTCACAGAGTCGGAAGGTTTAGAATCTATCACTTCTTGCTAAGATTTAATTTCATTTCTTACTGAAAAGGCAATTCTGCCCCTCTGCCCGTCCTTTCAATGGAACATGTATCTTTGGATACCCAGCCCTGATCCTTACAGCCATGACTCTGTAATACATCGTACCTGCCAATTTCAATCTGCACTACAACCTTATTTGTTTTGCTTCATATGCTGCTTTAAGTACAACACCCTCAGTCCTGAGTTGACCACCCTCTCCTTCACATAGTTGTTCCTTTATCTGCTGTGCCTGAAGTTAGATTCCTGACACTACCCATACCCGCTTTCCTAATACTTATTCAAATTCAACTGCACTTCAACTGCTGCTCAAGTTATAAGGGTCCACACCTGATTCTGAATAAAAAGGAGACTGAGATCAGAATGCAACATTTCACTCACCTGCTCTATCATACAGAAGATGTGAGCATCATCCTGTTCGAACCGACGCACTCTGCTTAATCCTGTTAAGGTGCCTGAAAACTCATAGCGATGAAGAACCCCAAAGTCAGCTAATCGTAAAGGGAGCTCACGCCAAGATCGTGGACGATGGTCAAACATCAAACTGAAACAAACAGTGTTTAAGCATTCTGGCACTACCAGTCTGATACACCACTTCTCATGGGAACCAAGTTTCCCATCAGTCTGATACGGATCTATCCAAGTTCACAGAGAAGATTCAGTATTGGCGTTATTGGACTCGGTCCCCAGTATCCCACTGATATTATGGAGCCACTGGTATAGGTTAGATACATGACACAGAACAAGCCTAGCCCAATCACCAATCTTAGTGAATGTGCTCTACTCAAGCCTCCTTCCGTCTTTCCTCATTCAAATATATAAGAGACAACTATTCTCTTCTCCCTCGTGTTTGTCTAGTTTCCCCTGGAATACATCTAAGTTATATAATTCAACCACTCCTGGTGATACCTGTGAATTCTTACTACTCTTTGTTTAGAGAAGCTTCTTCTGAATTCCATATAGGATTTCTTGATGACTATCTTATATTGATGACCTTTCTTATGTGTTTCAGGAAACAGTCTTTTTCAAAACCTCTCATAACTTTAATTACTTCCATTTGGTTCCTGTTCAGCCTTTTTTTAAAAAAAAACAAAAACTCACCTGATTTTATTTTCCTGATGTCAATGCACACATTTCTGATATCATCCTTATGAATGGTCTCTGCCCCTTTTTCTAGTGCCTCTCTTTTTCATAATGTGCACTTGCTCACATTTAGTGTTGAGCCTTATTTGCCAATTAGCCTGTTCTGATAGAGAGGGAGTCCTCCTATATTGCAGTATCTGACCATACCTCCACATATCACAATTTGGAAATTGTATTTTGATTCCAAATCTAAATTGGGAATGTAAACTATGAATAGTGATCCTTGAGGAATACCACTGCCCACTGTTTGTCACTCAATAACAATCCTTTACTCACAACTCTTCTGTTTTGTCTTGAAGCCAGTTGACAAACCATTCTACTTCTTGTCCCCAGACTCCATTTCTCTAACCTTACTCATTAGGGTACTATGGGTTACATTATTGAAGGCCTTTTAAAAAATCCAGTTATCTACTATGTCACCATTGTCT